ACGCAATCCCTGCACCAGCACTTCACCTCCCAATGATCCTCACGTGACGTGACCTCCCCATCACAAGACTATCACTAATGACCCACATTTGACCCATCACAAGACCCACAAGATCCTCAGTTGTCACACCCACACCTGACCCATCACAAGACCCATCAAAAGACCCTGACCTGAAGTGACCCTGATGTGAGGTGACCTTACCATCACAAGATCACACAAAGCCCTTATAAGCAAAAGAATGCTGACATTCCTTAAATTCTGCTGAAGATGTTACCTACCCTGGTAACGAAATGTTCAGAAACCAACCCACAAGCTCGGAGAACCAACCTCCACCCTCATTCTACATCCGAGCCACAGATATTCACCACTATCACAAATCTACATATGTATTTTTGCCAAATGTTTACTATCTATATCTGTCTCTTGACTAATTAGGGATTAGGGAATAAATTTTTGAGATTCCTCTGGTCCATAGAAATAATATGCATCCAGCTAAACAGCAACAAGAGAAGGAAAGAGTTCAGAACTGATTGTCCTCTCCTGTCAACGTAGCAATGGAGTATGCTATATAGCCGTGGTGGCAAACCTATGGCATGCGTGCCAAAGGGGGCACGCAGAGTCCTCTCTGTGGGCACGCGCACCATCACCCCAGTTCTAGGCCTTCAGCTGGGTTTTATAAAACCATTTCGCTTTAGGCCTCCACCACTATGTGCAAAAAAAAGAGGTTCAATCAATCAATCAATTTCAACTCGCGGGGAAAAAAAGATCTCACAAAGTTGGAATTGATTGAACTTTTTAATCCCACCCAGTCTGCCGTTACCACCACAGCCACGCCCACCCAATGGGCCACACCCACCCAATGGGCCATGCCCACCCGGCACCCGACGATACATAAGTGGGTTTTGGGTTGCAGTTTGGGCATTTGGTCTCTAAAAGGTTTGCCATCACTGCTATATAGATTCCATCATTCGATCAGGCTCTACCATGACCAATAGACAGAATACAAGGTGGATTTAGGTAAGCAAGAATTATTAAATGGCTGAAATCATTAGAAGTATGCTCTATAGCCAGCTATAACAGTGTAGTTAAGAATCTAGTAGATAAAAATTATTTTTTATCTTGAATATCTTTAAGATTTCACCTAATAATCTTAGCCTATTCCATATATAAAGTAGTCAAATATGCACTATATGTCTTAGTGTGAACAACCATTTCTTTGGTAATGTCTATACCCATAGGAGATTATTGAAGTAGCAATGTAAGCCTCTTTCGGAAATGCATCTTTGACTGCCTTGTGCACTTTCGCTATTACAAATCAATTTGCTGTATGGATTTACAGTCTGCATAATCAATTTCCATTCAGTACTAAACTCCATTTGCAATATATTTTTTTCATTATTCCTAATCCTATTTGGCTACAGCTTTTTCCTTTCATTCCTCATTTTGAATTCCACAGATATATTATCTTATTTTGTCCATTATAGTATGTCACAGTTGAATCATAGTTTGTTAAATAAATCACAATAGGAAGAATTTGAATGATGCAGTACAGTAATCTAGCATCAAGGCACACTATGATTATAACCTATATATGTGTACCAATCACTGATTACAAGCCTATGGAGCAAGTGGGTCACCACTGGCCGAGTGATAAAACACTGGATATGCATTCTTACCACTTTCAGCCATTTCTTGTTGTACATGGGCAGGACTGTTTGGCTCATTAGTAATGGGTAGCTCTTTATTCAGAGTTGAGGATACAGGTGACTCATTAGCATGGCTCTGATACAGCAATTGTCTTTGATGCAACCTAAATACAAATATTTGAATGATTTTATTTCATTACTTAAGAATACTAGAGTCAGAGAACCACTGTTTTTTAATATTACAAATGTTAGCAAGAGTTAGCAAAATACACACAAACACACACATACATATATAATGCAAATTAACTTTTCTGACCTTAAAAAACAGCTTAAAAAGGTCTTATAAATCAAGGCCTCCCTGAACAAGTTAAAATGATTATATTAAATTATATAAAAATGGTTCACAAACGATGATATTCACACCTTTGCTTATGTAGTATTTTTTCCAGTTTGGCATCCTCTGCTGTTTGGAGTCCAAACATAGTAGTAAGAGGACAAACACTGGCCAAATATTGTACTAACTGAAGGTGCTGGCCTGGTCGGAATGATCTTCCCTTTCCTTGACTATAAAGCCATTCTGCTTTCAAGCTATAAGGGAAGAACAAGATTAGTTCTACTAAACATTTTGAAAGTCCTTTCTATTAGAAACATACAAAGCATAAAGAATAGCAATTGAAATCCGGAAGTAATAGATGTAATTCAGAAGCAACAGCAAAAAAAAATAAATGTTGACATATCATAATACATTGGGAGAAAGCAATAATTTTCATGAATTCCAAAATAAACTATTTCAGCTACATACTGAATATCCAATGTCTACTTTTATCTTCAGGAGTATATAAATTAAAACCAGAACTTGAAGTACAGTAACTTGCCTTAGAATTTGACTATCTAGACCCATACCAGTCGGGCTTCAGGCCGGGACACAGCACGGAAACGGCATTGGTCACGTTGGTAAATGATCTCTGGAGGGCCCGGGACAGGGGTTATTCCTCTGTCCTTGTGCTTTTGGACCTCTCAGCGGCTTTTGACACCGTGGACCACGGTATCATGCTGCGGCGTCTCGGTGAGTTAGGAGTGGGAG